TTTAGTCCGTTGTGGGGGTAAAATAAGGACCTTAACAACACACCCGCGGGTGAGAAATATTAGGTTCATGACCAAATACTAGTTGCAAATGTGAATAGTAATAATATGCAGTTGGTCTGATACGAACCAATGACGCAGCATGCAATATGGTATGACCCCAAACAGAAGTTGGGAGTTTTGTTTTCATAAGTAATGGTCTAACAATAAGTTGTAGACGTTTAATAACTGACTCCGCTAAACCATTTTGTGTATGGACATGCGCGACCGAATGTTCAACAACAATCCCAATTGACATGCAATAATCATTGAATGCTTGTGATCTAAATTCACCAAAATTGTCAAGACGAATAGTCTTGATNCACATTAATTGTTGTAGGAATCAAAATGAGATAGAGTTGTTTCATTCCAAGAAATTTTACCTTGTTTATCAGGATGTAGTTTTTCCCTTTACAAAATTGGGAAAATCATTTCATCAAAATGACAATCTGCAAAACGTGCAGTAAATAAATCACCTGTTAAATGTTCGAGGTATATAATAATAGATGGTGAATCAAAACCCACATAAATTTCAAGTCTTCGTTGGGGACCCATTTTAGTCCGTTGTGGGGGTAAAATAAGGACCTTAACAACACACCCGCGGGTGAGAAATATTAGGTTCATGACCAAATACTAGTTGCAAATGTGAATAGTAATAATATGCAGTTGGTCTGATACGAACCAATGACGCAGCATGCAATATGGTATGACCCCAAACAGAAGTTGGGAGTTTTGTTTTCATAAGTAATGGTCTAACAATAAGTTGTAGACGTTTAATAACTGACTCCGCTAAACCATTTTGTGTATGGACATGCGCGACCGAATGTTCAACAACAATCCCAATTGACATGCAATAATCATTGAATGCTTGTGATCTAAATTCACCAAAATTGTCAAGACGAATAGTCTTGATTGAGTAATCGGGAAATTGCGCACGTAATTTTATGATTTGAGCAAGTAGTCTAGCAAAAGCTACATTCCTAGTAGAAAGTAGGCAAACATATGACCATCTAGTAGAAAAATGAATTAATACCATAAAATAACGAAATGGTCCACATGGTGGGTGTATTGGCCCACATATATCTCCATGAATCATTTCCAAGAAAGTTGGAGATTCGATATTGACCTTTATAGACGAAGCTCTAACGACTAACTTGCCATGTGAACCACACATGGATAATCATTAGGTAAAAGAATCTTCTGGTTCTTTAAAGGATGTCCATGTGAGTTATTTATTATTCGTTGCATCATTATAGCTCCTGATGTCCAAGTAGATCATGTCAAATATAAAATTCTTTGGATCAACGAACTTCTAGTTCGTGATAATATTTGATTCGACCATTTTTATAAATATATAATACATGCCAGATGGGAGTGCATAAAATTTTTATTTTATCTATTTCAGGCCAGATACAAAAGAAGTTGCAAAGATATTCAACATTATTTTCTTGTATCGTCTCAATGTGATATCCATGGCAACGGATATCTTTAAAACTAGGCAAATTTCTTCTGTATTTGCTTGAATAAAGTGCATCGTCAATATATAATTTTGTATTATTGGGTAAAATAATACAAGCTCTTCCGAAGTTTTCAACGATATTCGATGCACCTGATATCATATTAACATTATTTTCTGCTAATGTTTAGTTCAAAAAATATTTTTTGTCTTGAAAAATTGTATGTGTAGTTGCACTATCAATCAAACAAGTATTTTGACAATCCATCGTGAATCTATAAGAAAACAAATATATTTGAATTTAAATTTAAATTTAAAAGAGTAAATATAATTCAGTATTATAAAATTAACGATGCATAATAAGGTTTCAAATATTTTGTGAAAAATAAGGATATAATTTAAATTGAATTTCTAAAACGGAAAGGAAATACTAGAAAGTAAACTAATCTATATCTTTCATTACGTCACCTCCAATCACATGGTCAATATTCACATTTGAATCAGCAAAGAAATCAGAAACATCTAAATGAATCACATCAATTGGACCATCATAATCAGCAAAATTTGTCTTCACTTTTTCATTTTCCTTAATTAATTTTTGGTAGAGATCCACAAGGTGTTTTGCCGTATGACAGGTACGTGCCCAATGCCCTTTCATTCCACATCTGAAGCAACTTTCTTCATGCCCCTTTTTGGATATGCTACTTTCGTTTGCTTTGTGCCTTTTGAAATTATTGCATTGTTCCTGATAATTTTGTTGAGTATTTCGTCCATGATTTATTCCACGTCCGCGTCCAAGTCCAAATCCATGTCCACGTGCACATCCACGTTCACGTCATTGTCTTGATATTATATTTGCTTCAAAAAATGCAGTACCATTTGCTTCAAGCAATGGTACAGAACCAATTGGACGTAACCTATGATTTTTCATCAATAGTTCATTATTTTGTTTAGCCACAAGCAGGCAAGATATGAGTTTTGAGTACCTTTTGAAACCAATCTCACGATATTACTGCCGCAGGAGCACATTTGAGGCGTGAAAAGTGGAAAACGTTTTCTCAAACATATCTTCATCAGTGATTTTTTCTCCACACAATGTCAATTTTGAACATATTCTGAATAGTTCATAATTGTACTCACTAACAGTTTTGAAATCTTGCAAACGAAGATGCATCCACTCATAACGGGCTTTGGAGAGAACTATAGTCCTCTGATGATCAAGTCTTTCAGTTAATTTTTTCCAAAGAACCTGTGGATCCTTTTCAGTGAGATATTCAATTTTCAATCCATCGTGAAGATGATGACGAAGGAAGATGAGTGCTTTTGCACGATCCTACATGGATTCTTTGTTTCCTTCTTTTATTGTTTCTTCCAAACCTTTTAAGACAAGATGAATATTAGCATCGAGTACCTATGACAAATAGTTTTTGTCAAATATGTCAAGTGCAGCAAACTCAAGTTTCGTGATATTTACCATTTGATTTAACTACACAATAAAGTAAAAGAAAATACAATTAGTTTCGAAGAATATGATTAAACATCAATAGTCAATATCAATATGACATAAGTTACGTATTTTCCTTCAGGGATAAACACTAATTTAAAATAGTATGTTCTTCGAAACATGTGCTACTTCGAGAGCACTTTGTATTTTAATATTGCTTTTTCAAGAGCAATATGTCAATATTCTTCTGGAATATTGAAAAATATAATTTATGCTCTTCAGGAGGAAGTAATATTCTTCTTGAATATTAATTATAATATTGTGCTACTTCAGGAGCAACACAATGATAAATTATTAATTTAAAATTTATATAAGAACATCTAAAAATATTTAATCATATTAAAGACACAAAGAAGATTCAATAATCATAATAAACGCATATTTTACAAACATAAAAATTAAAGCAAAGAGTATATAAATTAAATATAAATTACTATGTGTACATGCAGACGTTAATCGAAGCAGAGAAAAAGCAAAAGTTGGGCAAAAACAAGAAGGTATACATGTATGTATAACTAAAAATAATTTAGCAGACAAGAAACTGGGTAGAAGAAGTAAGGTACGCAAGAATTGATTGAAAATTCACGTGGACGATTTGGCAGAAAATTGCAGAGAATTTGATCATGCTAATGCAATGATTGTTGCACAAATTGGATTTGTAAATAAAGGCACGTATTGAACTTTCAATTCACG